ATACAAATAAATGAGGATGTGGGGATCTTATTGTTGCTGAGCTCGAGCGGAGGTTGGCAGGATGGAAGAGAAATTTGTTATCTAAAGGTGAACACCTTACTATTATCAAAAGCATGTTGTTCAACTTAAGAGTGTATTATATGTCTCCTTTAACAATTTCAGTGAGTGTTGCAAGAAAATTGGAGGCAATTAAATACAGATTTTTATGAGGTAACTTGGAGGAGGAAAAGAGATATGATTTTGGTGGTGCGAGACATATTAAAAAGACCTTCGCATCAAGGGGGCTTGAGGTTGAGATTGATTGTTGAAATGAATCACACACTCCAAGATAAGTGGATTTGAGATTTTGTGGCATTGGGTTATTGTAGTAAAGTTTGGGACAATGGAGAGGAGTTAGCTTCCCAGAGGGGTGTCTAGACCGCACGGGACAGGAGTGTATATGTATAGGAATAGAAAGTTTTTAGCATTGTATCAGATGGAGGGTGTGTATTGGGAGAGAATTGGTTTTTGGATAGACCCATGACTCGAAAAGAAAATGCTGAAGGATAGATTCTCATAGATTTTTGCAATTGTAAGTTACAAAGGTATTACAGTAAATGAAGCATCTAGATAATTTGGGGGTGTGAGGAAGTGGCATGTTGAAATTCTAAGGAATCTTAATGATTGGGAAGTATATGATTATGAGTCTCTTTTGGGATCTCTATCTTATGTATCTTATAAGGACCTTTTTCTTTCTTTAAGACGTATGTGGCAATTCAAAAGATTTGGAGCAGAAAAATGTCTCCCCCATTAAGAGTTCTCATTATATATACAAATATATAAGGTAATTTTTAACCTATAAATTAGCTAAACAAAATTTTCTTATAGCTAGCATATCCTTATGTAAGAAAAAAATAAAAAATATAAATATAGAAGATAGTTATTAAAGTTGTACAAAACATAAAATTAGACATAAAATCTTCTAGTGCATAAAATTTGTTGGCTTAATTGTATAAAATCTGCAAATTAATTGTGTAGAATCTACTATCATAATTGTATAATATTTGCTGATTAATTGTCACTAAAATCTGTTGCAATAATTGTATAATATATGCTGACTAATTGAATAAAATTTGCTGGTTAATTAATTGTTAGTTAATTATTGACAATCTAGAAGACTGAGACAAAGGGCTCCACTCTTTCCCTTTTTGTTTATTATTGTTATGGAAACGTTGAATAGATTGTTGGAGAAAACAAAAGAGTTGGAGTTGTTGAGAATGGTGGTGGGAAGAGGTGACTAATAGGTGGAGGTTTCTCACATTTTCTTTGTTGATGACACCTTCACTTTGTTAATCAGAGGGGAGGATGTTGTTAAACCTAAGGTGCATTCTCTTGTACTTCCAAGCAGTATTCGGATTGAATATTAATATGAAAAAATCAGAAATGATGAGAATTGACGATAGGAGGGATGATAATAACTTAGCAAGGATTTTGGGGTGCAAAACTGTAAATCTTCTTGTCAAGTATCTTGAACTTTTATTGAGGTTCAAGTATAGAAACGTGAAGACTTGGGAACCACTGATTGAGATATTTGAGAGAAGACTAGCAGGGTTGAAGAGAGTTTCTGCCAAAGGGTGGAAGGTTAACACTCATAAAAAACACACTAAAATCTTCCTTTTTATTATTTGTCTACTTTGACAATACCAATGAAGGTAGGGAGAAAATTGGTTGTTTTCTTTGGAGTGATGAAGAGGAGAGAAGGAGATCTCATTTGGAAGTGGAAAGAGATGAAGTTGCTTTTAAAGTGAGGGGGGAGGGGATTGGAGTTTAGATCCTTTTTCGAGATGAATATTGCTCTTTGAGGAAATCGGATATGGAGGTATATGACGAGAAGAGGATAGGTTGTAGAAGAGAGTTGTTGAAATTTGTTGGGGGATTATTGATAGAGGAGGGACCACTAGAAACGTGCCAGTCCGCATGGAATGGGGTTATGGAGGAAGATAAGTATGGGAGTCAAAAATTTCAAGAATCTATCAATTGGAAGTTGGATAAAGGGAATAGAATTCTATTCTAGTTAGATGAGTGGGTTGGAAGGGGAAGTCTTAAGCTTCAATTCCCGGGGATATTTGCCATTGTACAATCAAAGAATATCTTTATTAAGGAAGCATGCAGAGTGTGGAATGGAGGCAGGGAGTGAATAGCAAACGTGAACAAGAATCTTAATGATCGAGAGATTAGAGAATATGAAACATTGTTACATTTTCTTTCCACCGTGTACTTAAATCACAATAGGGAACAATTGTATGGAAATTGAAAAAGAATGAGAAGTTTATTGTTTAGTCTTTTTATAACCATCTGGTTGGAAGAGACGTGGACGGGATGGTCCAGTTTCTTGCTAACCAAATTTGGAAAGTGAAGGCTCCAAGAATTGTTTTTTTTTTTTTTATTGGGAAGCGGGAAAAGAATCTTTTGACCACTGACAAATTGATGAGAAGGGGTAGAACAATGGTGAATAGTTGTTATCTATACAAGAAAGCTGCAAAGTCTTGAAATCATATTCTCCTTTGGTGCCCAATGGTGTACAATCCTTGGACAATGGTTTATGGTTTATTAGGGATAAACTAGGTTATAGCGAGATCGGTGAAGGACTAGATTTGGGCTTTGGAGGGGATATGTAAAAAGAAAAAAAATTTAAAGTTTATTTCTTTAACTATTTTTTGGGTGATTTGGAAGGAGAGGAATAATATGAAGGGATAAAAGGAGAGATGTCTAAAATTAGGGATAGATAGATACATTATTTTGACTTTTTGACTTTAAGTCGTGACATTTACAAGTCGGAGGATTTTGGAAATGTCATAAATATACTAATAGATTTGAAAATATGTTGTAAGTGGATGGTACCCCTTTGGTACCTTTATTTTAATATACGTCATATATTTTTATTTCAAAAAAATTTAAGAGTGAGAGTGATGATCAACTAATTTGGATTCTCAGCCTAAATGGGTCATTTTTCAGTTGGGACATTCTATAAGTATTTGGTTAAGAATGACGTTGGGGAGGATTCCAATTGTGGCAAATATGAAAAGTGAGCGGTCCCCTTAGAATCGCTTTCTTTGCTTGGGAAGTAAGGTAGGGAAGCATTTTGATAATTGATAAGTCGATAAGAAGGGGAAAAGTTTTGGTCAATGGATGTTACCTTTGTTAGAGGGCAGATGAGACTTGCGACTATATTTTACTACGATGTGCTCTTGTGTTTGAGTTATGGAGTATGACGTATGGGATTTTGGGTGGCAACTAGGCAATGACGGGTAGTGTAGGGAATGAGAAATGGGCATCAAAGGGGGTAAGTGATAAGGAAAATCATTTGGGTCCTATTTCTCTTATAATTTTTTGTGGATGATATGGAAAGAATGGAACAGAAGGGCTTTTGAAGAGGTGGAAGAGGAGTTTGATAGGGTTAGGGATAGCTGGTATCAAATTTTTGATTGTTTAGTTATCGGTAACTATTTATACTCTATCGAGGATTTTAATAACCTTATCAAGGTCCTAATTTATATGTAAGTTTCTTTTGTACATAGGTTGACACCCACTTAGAGTTTTTAATTAATGAATACAGATTATACTTTTTAATTAAAAAAATGTTGTTGAATCCAGTTCATTAATCTAGGGGATTGATTATGATGTTTGGCTTAAAATTTTGGTGATTGCATATATACGAGATATTTGAGCTTTTAATAATCTGTTATCTTGAATTGGCAAGGAAGTAGAAAGGTAATGAGTTTTCCTGCAGTTGATAGCAATGGCTCTGGGGTGGGGGAGAGAGCAATAGTAATCTGCATAAGGTTTTACTCTCAAGAGGAAGTGCTGTGTTTAAAATAGTATTAAACTGATAAATATAGGTTGAACTTTGTATGAGAGAGTTAGTTGTCCAATGGACTGAATGAATCTTGTTTTCTCTCTCCTGGATTCGCTTATCCTCTCTGTGATTTCCACCCAATTCTGATATCTGTAGTTATTTCTCTATCTCTGTTATATGTTTTATTGGCATCAGAAAATATAACAGGCAATAAAAACAATCAAGCAATGGGCTTTTTTTTTTTTTGGAAGGATAAGCAGGGAATTGAGAGAATAAATCTCTGGTGATTAATTTTTAATTAAATATTGATAGGAAACTGAATAATGCAACTCTAAGTCTCCCCATTTAGTGATTCCAGAGTCCTAAAAGGTAAACCTAAGGAAGAGGGAAATAAGATCCTAAGACACTAAAAGACCTAATGTTTAGTGGGTAGTTTCTCTAAGTTCTGCAACTGATATACTCATGTATATTTGCTAAAAATAGAATGGATTAACTTATACTTATTCCAAAAAGTAGATTTTTTTCTTAAAAGCCAAGGAGATCAAAGGCTTTTTAATGGCCGTTGCTAAATCTTCAAGATGTGTTACAAGGCAAGAAGAAAGTCCGGTTAACTCTCTAAACCAGATTTAGATATCTATGTTTCAGGAACTATAACTAGATCACAGACTAGGTAATATAGCAGTTGTTTGAGGGCAAAGTTTTGACCCCCAAGGAAGGGGATGTGGATTTTGCTTGTTTCCACTTCTGCTGATTCTTAGCAGGGTGGGGGTGAGAGTGGAGGTATGGCCCATACCCCCACTATTTCCATCCCTTTGTATGTGATGTCATGATGTGAAGGAGCTAACAAGAGTCTCCAAAAATCTAAAGATGGTTGGACCTCGAGTTTTTACTATAGTTTCAGTTCTGCCCTTTTTAGGACTTCAGTTCAGGTGTTAATTACATTTGCCAAACCAGCTGGAACTTGAGGGTCTTCTTTTCTGGTCTAGATTAAAAGGTCAGACACTTGAATTGGTCGTTTATTCCTTCTTTTTGGACATACACATTGCTGTAAAATACTCAAATCTTTAACTTCGTATAACCAGAGATTTCTGTTGGGAAGCCAAGTTTTTGCTTTTTTACAATTTTGGGTGAATATATTAGAAGGAAGCATTCTATTGATAAAATTTTACCTTGGTCTTCCATGCTTGTTGAAATTTCGTACCATTTAGCTGTTGTAAGAGGGAATGTTATATATGTTGGAGGTATAGCATGTATACTTTTGTAAGGAATCTAAATGTTTGCTGGATTTTACATCAGCAATGCAGATCAAACACTCTGCTCACATTGTAAAGGACGGGAAGCTGAACTATACTGCAAGACAGTTTCCCAGGGTATGCATCTTATCTACTTTTTCCTGGACCTAAACTTTTGATTATTTATTCAATGTGGAATTGGTTTCAGTTTCAGAGCTAGAAGAACTGTTTGGGAAGCTATGGACCCAGTGCCAAGAATGCCAAGGCTCTCTTCACCAGGATGTCCTCTGTACCAGGTTTTACTTTTTACCAGTTCAATAATTCTGTAACAAGAGTAACTTTTTCATCATGATGCACGAGAAATAAAGGGATGAGAATAGATTGGCAGTATAGCAACCAGTTGGTTGGCTAATTCAGGACATATCTCACAAGAAATAATTATGAGTAGTTACCAGCTGAAAGTTAGCTCGAATAGCAGGTAAATACTTTAGTTGAAACAACTGTCACCGGAAATGAAAATGTATATATAGGAAATACCTTAGCCTATATGAATTGTGAATGACATTGTCTCTCCGTTGTCTCAACCTTCTTCCTCCTTGGAATCCATCTGGTAGGGTCTTTTTGTATTAATTGGTATCAAAGCTGGTTGATCCAACCTTCAAATTCAAGCAAAAACTTGTGCCCAAATGGCTGTCTTCAATAAACATGAAGTCATAAGATACGGGAAAAAAATGGAAGAATCAGTTTAAGTAATTGCAGATGGAATGTAACTAAAAATAGCGAGAAGCATGAGCAAGCCATCAAGTGCCTATCTGAGAAACAAAATTTCATGTTTAAGGAACTCAAAGCCATTACTTGATCTGCTGTACTCCAATCCGACGTCAGAAATGTATGTGATTACTGTGCTTGATATAAGAGTTCAAATCACAATACCAATAGTATGAGTTTGAGTTTTTGAAGGCTAGTGGTTTGGGTCTCAAAAGTTTTTGGTTTAATTATACCTGATCCTGTAGCATTAGAAACAGTATCAGAGCGCGTGTCAGCTTGGTTATCTTGGGTTAGTGTAATTTTGGATCTTAATGGGATTAGTTGTTTGGGTACAAAAAGTTGTTCTAGTAGTTTTGCTTAGGCTCGGGGCATTACATGATCCATCCAAAACCAGATGACCTTGTGAGATTTCATTTACCAATCACCAAAAATAGCCAATAAAAAAGGCTCAATGATGTAGAGTATGAAGATTTTAAAGTGGACATATTTTTATACTAAGATATATTTGTATAATTGTAATGTTTATTTATTATAAGGTGTTTAAGGTTATTTAATTAATTAGTTTATTTTTCTATTTTTTAGAATTTCTAAATAGACTTAAGAACTCCTATTTTGATTGTATTTCGTTACCTATAAATAGTGCCCTAGCTTAGTTATTTTGGAGTATTCATATAAATATTATACAAATATTTAGTTTTTTATTTGATTATTAAGATCCCGTATCTTTAATTCTTGGTTTTTAATAAATTTTCTCTCAGTATTGTGCTCAACCTCTCTTTGTCTTATATTAATTGATATCCCTATTATTGATGATTCGACTCATGAGTGCAAGATAATAAATGAAGTAATAGAGGAGATCACCATTAACCATCCAACTAATGATAACAAGTTAATAGATAAGGTAATCAAAGTGATCACGAAAGGTTGTAATTTTTATTGCTAATTGAGTCATCTAGTGATGGATCTCTTGATTTACTTTTGAGTCATTATGTTGTTGAGGTTGAAGACAGTGATATTTTAGTTGATTTGAAGAAGAAAGAGGCCCCACTAGAAGATATTGCCTCCAAAAATTCTTCGGCTCCTAATAGTTACAGTGAAAGTTTGGAAATTCTTCTTTTATGGCTTTTATTATTTCTAATTGGTTCACTATTTCTTCGGGATTCTTGATTTCGGAAGCATTCTTGGTTTCTTAGATAATCCCTTAAGTTTTGTAAACTTCAGTTGTTAGGAAGTTGAGTTACAATTTTGAGATTCTTTCTACTTTG